TTCTTCTTGGGAGCGATAACTTCCCCAAAGTGGTTGGTGGGAATGCCGCCCATGTTGTAGTGGACCGTGGGCAGGACCGGGATGGGCTCCTTGGTCACGTCCACGCCGGCAAAGATCGCCGCTGTCTCCGAGATCCCCGGCAAGCGCTCCGCGAGGAGATCGGGGGGCAGGTGGTCCAGGTGTAAAAACAAGTGATCCTTCTCCTTGCCTACGCCTCGCCCCTCCCGGATCTCCATCGTCATGGCGCGCGACACCACATCCCGCGACGCCAGGTCCTTGGCCGTGGGCGCATACCGCTCCATGAATCGCTCCCCCTCTGCGTTCCTCAGGATTCCTCCCTCCCCACGGCAGCCCTCTGTGATGAGGCATCCCGCACCGTAGATGCCCGTGGGGTGGAACTGAACAAACTCCGGGTCCTCCACGGGCAGACCCGCCCGAAGCACCATGGCATTGCCGTCCCCTGTGCAGGTGTGGGCCGACGTGCAAGAAAAATAGGCACGGCCGTATCCGCCCGTTGCCAGGACGGTGTTGTTGGCGTGGATCCGGTGCAAGGTCCCGTCCTCCATGTTCAAGGCGGTGATCCCGACGCAACGCCCGTCCCCATCCATGATCAAATCCAGGGCAAAATACTCGATGAAATATGTGGTGTTGAAGGCAAGAGAGCGCCCGTAGAGGGTGTGCAACATGGCGTGACCCGTTCGATCCGCGGCACAGGCACAGCGGTAGGCTTGCCCGCCCTTTCCGTATTTGAGGGACTGGCCGCCGAAGGCCCGCTGGTAGATCTTCCCGTCCTCAGTGCGTGAGAAGGGCAGCCCGTAACTCTCCAGCTCGTACACGGCCCGAGGCGCTTCTCGACACATGTAGTGGATCGCGTCCTGGTCCCCCAGCCAGTCCGAGCCTTTCACCGTGTCGTACATGTGCCAGCGCCAGTCGTCCTCGGTCATGTTTCCCAAAGCCGCGTTGATGCCGCCCTGAGCCGCCACGGTGTGAGAACGGGTGGGGAAGAGCTTGGTCACACACGCGGTCTTGAAGCCGGCCTCTGCAGCTCCCATGGCCGCCCTAAGTCCCGCCCCACCGGCACCAACCACCACCACGTCGTACTCGTGATCGATCACAGTGTACTTGGCGTTTGGGGTAGAGGAGACCTTCCCCTCGGGGGGAACGCCCGAAATGGCGGCCAGGCGGGCTGAGGAGGCATGAATAGCGCGCTGGCAATGCGAAACGTGGGGAAGAAAAAAACAATGCAAAGGTTATCATGATATAATACATGTTTTACGCTCCCCTGAACACATCTCCGGCGGGCTGGACGGGCCTGGAAACGGAGCTCGCAGTCTCAATCCTTCTCCATACACCACCAGAGGGATGATAGCCACGGGCGATGCACAAGAAATACAGGGGTAAGTTTCAAAGACCACAAGGCCCATACAAGCTTCCTTCAATCCAGAAACCACGGGAGTGGTGGAACGGAAGGTGTTCCGGCGGGGAATACGCCGGAGGAGTGAATCACTTTGCCAAGCCTGTACATGTACGTCACGTACCCGCTGGACCTGCGCCACACTGCCCAAAAGACGCTTGCCTACGCTGCGCAGCATGGAAGAACGTCCAAAAATGTATGGAAGTGTTGTACTGGGTGGTTTTGAAGTTTTTTCCTGAAGAGCTGGTGGCGTAAGAGAATCAAAGGATTGATGTACAAAAGGACGTTGGAATCTTGCAATATTCACAAACAATCTCAAGGCTACGCTCAAAAATAAGTCCTGACATAATGAGGTACTATGGGAACGCACTCCCCAGGTTCACGAAGCAAGTGCGAGCATTGAGGCTGAAAGAGGTTGAGGTGCTCTGAGCTTGAAGGCGCTTGTTCCAGCCTCTTCTTTTGCGGTCGTCGCACTCTTCCTGCTAAACATCCCAGGCATCACGTCCTCGGGTGAAAAATGACACAGATCTATGCGCATGCACCACGCCCATCCTGACGTGGTCGTCCGTCCATGCTTTACCAGACGCAAGCACACGAATCAGCCGCCACCTCAGTCCTCCGCCTTCTCTAGGGCGTCGCTGAAACCGCGCCGGCCGTAGCCCTCCCCCCCTCCCTCCCTCCCTCCCTCCCCCCCGGTATGCCGTGCAGACGCTCGATGGGCTCGCGTTTTGCTCGTCATCATCTCCGCATGGTTGGTATACGTGGGTATAGTCAATGAATTGTCGTCTGCGTGTCTTTTTTAATCGTCCTTGGCCGATGTTGCAGTACAGGGTGGCCCATGGGCCCCAGCATTAACCTTGAATGCTCACCTCCTCCCTCCTTTGAACCTATCTCGACAACACACCATCACTCACAGACTTGGCTCGCTCCCCTACATGCCCTCTATGATCGGCAAGGAAGAGGAAAATGGAGGTGTCTGCGCCGCGACTGCCAACGCATTGCTGGAATGGATAGGCAGCTTCCACTCCCTCCTTTCCGCTGGCGACCTTCCCACAAAACTGGAGCACTTGACAGATGGCGTCGCCCTGGCCGAAGTTCTTCACGACGTAGCGCCGGCTCGTTTTCCGCGCAATGTATTGTCTCGTCCTGCATCGACCGCCTCCTCGTCTTCCCCCCCCACGCCCACGACCAACTGGGCCTTGGCGCTCACGAACATGAAAAAGCTGACACGGCTCTTGGAGGCACACTACGAGGAAGACCTTGGGTTGTGCCTGCGGGGATCCGAAGAGATGGAGAGGGTGCATGCTGAGAAAAGTAGCGCTGGATTTGATGGGTTCATAAGTTATTTTTCTACTTTGGATTTGGTCGGCGTGGTCCGAGAGAAACGGGAAAGGGAGATTGTGAAAATCTGGGAGCTTGCCATTTTTGCCGCTGTGCGAGCCCCTACCCCTGAAAAAGCTCGTATCTACGTGGAGAAAATCATGGCATTGTCTCCTGGTGCCCAGGCTGAATTGAAAGACTGCGTTGAACGAACACTGTCCAGGGCCGGTCCTTCCTCACGACCCTCTCCTTCCTCCTCCTCCTCTTCCTCGCCATCCTCCCTCTCCAACGCCACCTGGAACGGTAATCCACCCTCCATCACCGCAGGACTGACAAGTGAGGCACATCCTCAAGAGGAGGGAGGGAATGTACGCCTGAAGGAGAAGCTGCAACAGTTGCAAACCGCCCTGGCTTTGAGGGAGGAGGAGGTGGGAAGGGTCCGAGCGAGCGAGGGAGAGATCAAGGATGAATTGGAGGGGATGAAAAACCGGTGGAAGGAAGCGGTGGACAGGGCAGATAAGCTGCAGAAAGCCTGCGAGGAGTGGCGCGTGCGAGTGGAAGAAAAGGAGGAGGAAGGAGAGCACTGGCGTCGGGAGGCGGGGCGGTGGGAGGCCAAAGTGAAGGCGGAGAGGGAGAGGGCTCGAAAGGCGGAGGAGGGAGAAAGGAAGCTAGCAGATGAGGTGGACGTGCTGCGAGAAAGGGCAGGGACTGTGCAGGATTTGGAGGGGTCGTTGGAGAAGTACAAGGGGCGGCTTGAGCAGATGGCGGGGCTGAAGCAGCTCTGTCGAGACCTTGAAGAGCGGAATGCCACGTATCTGGACCAGATTTTGCAGGCGGAGGAGGGAACAAAAGCGACGGTGTCCAGCTTGAAAAGGGCACTGGAGCAGTACAAGGAGAAGGTGGTGGTGTTGGAGAGGGAGAAATTTGTGGCCATGGAGAGGAAAGAGGTGGTGGAGGGAGAGAATGACCGGCTGGAGGCAGAGCTCGAGGCAGCGAGGGAGGGACGGCGAACGGTCACCGAGGAGTACCAGGAGTGTAAACGACTGCTCTCGAGGCTGCAGCAGCAAGCAGACCGGCCAGAGGGGGGAGAGAGAGACGGTGGCATCAGAAGGGAGAAGGATCGGGTGGGAGGCCTCTTCGAGGACGCGGCGAGTGTGCCGGAGCGGCTGCAAAGGCTGGAGCGGGAGAATAAACAGCTGCGGAAGGACATGGAAGGAAGGAATCAGCAACCCGATGGGGAGGGGCGGTCAATTATTAGTTTGGAAGAAGACTTAGCCCTTCTCCGCTCCGAAATGCAGGACGTGGTACGCATAAAAGGAGAGAGAGAAAAGGAGGCCATCGCGGCAACGAAGCGGGCGGCGGACTTGGAGGCGCAAATCCTTATGTTGAAAGGACAATGCGAGGAGATGGAAGAGGAGGTGGGAAAGGCGAAGGAGGAAGGGGTCCTCGCTGTGGCCGCACAGGAATCTGCATTGGCCCGCGTGCGCGCTCTTGTCGCCGAGACCCAGGATTTGGAGGGGCAGATCGCGACCTTGAAAGGCGAGAAGGACCGACTGGAAGGGTACACGCGGAAGACCCTCCAAGCTGTCCAAGAGAAGTACGTTCAGACGCTTGGTAGCTTGAAAAGGAGTAACGCCGAGTACAAGGGGAAATGCCAGGCATTGGAAGCACGCCTGCAGGAGGACAGGGTAGCACAGAAAAGGGAGGAGAAGCTCTTGATGTCGGCCGTCTACGGTCTAGGTATGGAAATGCTACAGCCGGAATTCAACCGGGTGGCGCTTGCAGGGAAAATTCGTGGAAGTGGAACAGAAAGCAATGGTCCGTGTGGTGCACAGAATGAATTAAAGACGACGGGAGGGAATAAGGGAGGGGAAAGGAGATGAGACCGTGCCAGCCGAATGATCAACACCATGCATGGATGTACATGACTGGAATGGCCCAACACATGAGACTGAAGTCCCAGGAACAGGGACACCTGAGGCCTTCGTGTGAAAATGTGAAGCACTTTGAAGTGCTTGAGATACGTAGTCCCACTGTGTACATACACGTGTGTTATAATTAAATGCATTAAAGTGAACATGGCTGCATTACATGTGTAGCTTACACCGGGACCGACGAGTACGCTTCGTCTGGATCTCTCCCCATGCCAAATGTACGCTTTGTTACCAACTCTATACATTTCCTCATTGTCAAATATAAAAGCTTTTCCTGTTTAATTACTTCTTGTTTAGTTTTCAACATTTCAAGCTTGGATGCCACATCTACCATGCCTTCAAGGACCTCGCGCCGGGCGATACAAGATGTCCGCGCTCAGAACTGCGAGCTTGTTTACCAGCTGGTGTGATCCTAAGCGTTCAGAGGCTTTCCTCCTCAAACACGCCTGCAAAATTTGTTTGATTCCATTAAGACGCTCTTCCCATCCCGAGTCTGCCGGTAGCCGCGACTTGAAATTCTCGAATATGCGCCACCCGGAAAATTCGGCTATCGAAAAGTCAGCCACTAGCCGACGAAGCTCCTTCGGATCCCTCGCTGCGCCCCACGCTTTGCGTCCCACCATCAACTCGAGGAGCAGAACGCCCATGCTCCATATGTCACCCGATGGATGCAACACAAGGGGTGGCAGCGTCTTGGATTGGGATCGACTTCTTGCTTCAGCCGTGGCCATTGACGACGACCAAATACTCAATCTCTCAGGAGCAGTGAAGGTAATCCTGTCCGCGCTCCCGCATCTATTCGGCACACCTTTGGATAACCCACGATGGGCAATACCTTGGTCCGTCAGCTTGACCACCTGCAGCATCGGCATCGGGAAAGAGACTAGGATGTTTGCTGGACGCAATGCACCATGAACCAGCCCGTGAGCGTGCAAGTAGTCCAATCCGGCCGCGATCTTGCACGCGGTCAGTAATCGGTCCTCCAGCGTAACTAGCGAGTGTGGCTTCAGGAGGACGTGATCAAGATCTACAAGCGCTTCTTCAAAAGCGAAACCCACCGCCGACAAGGCCTTTTCCTCCTCGATGCGGGCCGCCACTACCGGCACGAGGTTTTCATGATTTAGCCGCCGCAACTTTTTCAATTCCTCTCGAAAGGCTGAGCGGGCTTCGGGCACAGGAGACACAGCAACGTTCTTCAAGACAACCTTTCGTCCGTCTGAAAGTTTGACCAAATTTAGATGAGGAAGTGACAGGGGTTTCAGCAAGGTGGTGTCGTTTCCCGAGATAAGAAAGCGAGGTTTGCGACCTGCGCCGTCTTTTCCGTCGCTGTAGTCATCGCGATGGCATTTCTTGCGCCGCTTTTTTTGCACGCCCTCTACCTTCTGGTCCAAGTCCAGGCCGTGATGCTTCTTTTTCGTCCGGGATTTCTCTCCCTTCGACTTTCGTTCTCTCTCCCTACTATCTTCCACGCTTTGCCCCTTACCCTGTGATCCACATTTGTTGCTTGCAGGCCCATGCTTTCGCTTCCCTGGCATCTTGTCTGCGTAAGACATTTCTCCGCCGTCAACGATGGCTGTCAAATATTCGGCCTGACTACCCGTTTTGAAATCCACCATCACTTCCTCCCCCTCTTGAGAGATCGCTGCCTCGGGGGCCTCGCAGCTCGTCACTGGTGATCCTTGCGACCAACAGTACCATTTGGTATCCTTCCCTGCGAATTGCATTACGTACGACTGTGTCACCATTCGCCACTTGCCGCAGTGTTCGCACTGTATGAAATCCGTCACTTTTAACTTGGCCCTGGACGGTATTTCTACCGCTTTGCTCTTCCCTATCCTTGCCTCGCGCGCAAGCTCTTGGGAAATATACTGAGTCCAGACACGTCCGAGCCGCTCTTCAATTTTCTCGAGGGCCGGGTTGGGGCGACGGAAGGATTGCTTGGAATGCTGGGTTTCGTAGTGGCGGGGATCTAAATGCACGACGGCGAGCACACCCATCCCCTCCCGCGGATTTGTAATCCCGATCTCCTGTCGCACGTAGGACGCGATCAGAACGTTGGTGCAAAAAAACATGGCCCCGCCCAAGCCCAATCGCTTCGCCTCGGATGAGAAACCTACGGAGGCTATGACGGGTTTTCGGGTTGGCTCGTCTTGGAGCAGGTTGTAACGCCGTACGTGCAGCAAGGTCTCGAGGAGGTCTGGCGTCGGAACGTCTTTTCCCAACAAGGTGATTCTCATGCGGTGTTGCAGAAAGGCTACTTGGAGGTACGCTCGAAGGGAATAGTCAATAGGCACGTCATGAGCAAGGAGGGCACCGCGGGTGTTGAGATGTTTTTTCCCCGTACCGCGTCACCAGCTGTAGATCGCCTTCCGCCCTGTCCACTCGCAGCTCACGCCAAACGCCACCGCCCTCCGGATCCCCTCGTTCCATGCCTTGGATGTAGACCACGGTGCCCGACTCTCCCGCCGCCCAGGCGTTGAGCAACAGAGACCAATGCCGCTCTGGAGTGACGAAGCTGTAGCGAGCTATCAGCTCGGAGGCCTCTCGGAAGGCCTGGCGGGACGTGTACAGCGGGTCAGGCTCCATGGTGTCGGGGCTCAATGTAACCACACGACACACGGGTGCCGCGTTCTCGTCCCGAAGGTGGGGCTCGTTTGACAGGATGCCCATGACCAATGACTTATGCCTCAGGCTTTTGCTCAGCACAACGGCCGTGGAACCGATCCGAAGGCTTCCCTGCTTGAAACCGCAGCCGTATCGGCCCACCCTTTCCACGTTTTTCCGGTCTCGAGCATACGTTTTACCCAATCGAAACATCCCCTCCATCTCATCGGGGCCCATCCCCACGCCGTTGTCCTTGATCTCGAGGACCATGACCCCGCCTTCCCCTCCGTCTTCCTCGCGGACGTCGATATGCAAGCGCGTGCTCCCTGCGTCCAGGGAATTATGCAGCAACTCTGCCAGCGCTCCAAACAACCAGACATGATTTTGGCTGAGGGTGCTCAAATAAGAATTGTCGATCGCCATAAATGTGGAGGCGGGCATCGAGGGATCCACCGGGCGTGGAGGAGATGACGAGGGATGACTTACGTAAGAAGGGGCAACAGGCGGAGGAATCCGTGCTCGAGTCCCAACCGCCGCAGGTAGTGAAAGAGGTTCCCCAGAAGTCCTGGGTGTCTCGTCGCTTTCCAACTCTGCACCCTCGAAATGTTGTCGTACCGGTACACGCTTCTGCATTCCGGTGGTGTTATCATCTGTCGCAGCACCAGCGTGGTGGAGCGTGTCGAGAGAGCCACCTTCCTCTACAATAGAGTTTGCATTCCCAGAGGAGACAGGTGAAGGTAGGAGGGAAGATGGCGGCGAGAATGTGAACGAACTCAAGAGGACGGGTGGGATTAAAAGCTTTAGCTTATCTGTTGCTTCGAAAGCTGAGGAATCCGAAGGTGGGCAAAGCCATACACACAGATTCCGGCTCTGAGGCAGGCGTATCTCGGCATATTTTGGCAAGCTCTTTCCTTGAAGCCCGTGGCTTAAATATTTACAAAAGCCAACGTAGTGCTGCTTCTCTGATTCGGAGGCAGCTTCGGGTACACCTACGTCGATTGCTGGTAGCGTCTTCGTATCCACCCCCTCACGCTTGTAATGCGATATTACAAACGCCGTGTCGAGTCTGGATGTTCGTAGATAGTATAAATGATGGCTTAACGGGTTTGATGGACCGATGATCGTCCAGACTGATTTACAAGCAATACTACTAGGGACGCGTAGACAGAGATAACCTGCCGACTGGGAAGGCGGAGGGGATTCGGCAGACCGAGTGTCAGCTCTTGCCACACATTGAAAACCACTTACATAGATGTATGACGCCCAGTATCCAGATAAAGTGGGCAGATATATTCTTGCTGTAGGTTGTTTTTCGTAAAAAGGCGGAAGGTCTTCTTGTCCGTGGTAACGTCCCCCATTTCCTCCTCCACTCTTACGCGAGTAGGTGGTGGTAACGCACCCCGCCACCTTCGGGCTTAATGGCGGAATGTATCAAATTACTTTTGACATTTGAAGAGCTATCTTACGGGTGATTTCGGTTCAAAAGGTGGAGGAATGTGCGTAAGTGAAGAACTACCATAGGATGATTCCTGCAAGCCGGTTTGCCACCCCCTTGAGCCGTTGATGGCCCATATCTCGTGTTGAAAAGTCGATTTGTAGGACGCATGCGGTAAATGGTAGGTATTACACACACAACGCATGTGACGGAATAATCTCTAGATATTGAAGGGCAAGGCTCGTGTCAACCTCCCCATCTCGATTGCTACGAGGGTTAATTGTTCATTTGTCTTTGAGACATCTCCTATGTAGTATTTTCTGTCATTAGATTAACATTCATCGATGAGCAAGCTTTTTTCCCTATTTCATTCATTTTTCATACCATATGAGCAGGCGAGCGCCGAGAACCACATCGACGCCCTCCATACATTGTAGTATTGTTCTTCCCTTCGATATCCACCACAGGCGAAGTTGTTGTAGGACTCGCGATCGCTGAGTTCTGTGACCTTTTTACACCTACGTGAGATGGTTGCTCCTTTTTTGTCGTCGGAGGTTTAAGAATGCGAGAGGTACGATGCTCATCTTTGGGCAAAAAATCTGTGCGTTCGTGCATGATGACGACACCTGTCTTGGCTAATAGCTCTGCAAAGGAGTCGCGCGGATTGTAGCAGATGAGCATGCATGTGCTTATGAGAACAATCAATTGTAGTATCAACAGAAAGTTGAGGTACTTTTGCAACGCTCCCAGGCGCTTACTTAGAAAGCGGGCCACACCCAACCGACAGCGGTGATATGGACAGGCATCTAGGTTTCCCGCGGTGCAGAGGTCATCCCGAGGACAACATCCATCTGTATAGGGCACACTGGTACCGCCGTCGCCGTCAGTACCACACGAGGTGCAGGTACCAACATCCATGGACAAAGGGCAGCTCTGACGCGTCCAGTCTGCAAACCAATTAAAAGATCCCGCCCCTCCGTCGTGCGCCCTAACCGCAGCTTTTCTGGTTTTAAAGTAAAGACGATTGAAGTAAGGGACGAGCAAATTTTGCTCTGAGCGAGCGTAAACTGCGTCTGGATTATCCAAGAGAAGAGGGACCTGCGTGTGAAGAGTCCGCATAGCCAGAAATGCCGTTGTAAAAGCAAAGAGTAGTCCCAACAGTAGAAGCTGGTACAATGACAGCAACCTCCTTCCTCCGCACGGCCCGACGCGGACGATTTGACGTTTTACTCCAAAGCATCCAAGACAGGATAAAAAGACAAGCCCAAGGCCGACCAACATCGTCCACATGATCCATCCTTGGGTAAGACTGGTCAATGTCACCGCAGCAAGGGATGTTGCGTAGTAAAGATATGCTGCTAGACCTCCCAAGACTAAGCCCGCGATGCAAAAGCAGGTGTTGCTCGTAGAGACAACAAACTTGATGTTGTCATTCAGCATGTTCACGTCAGGTCTATCGGACGCTTGCTGCGCGTGCACGTAAGCGTCAGCCTGCGGCACCGTTCTCAATAAAAGTTTGGCAATCCTGCTGTGTGTGGCTGATATTGATTTCAAGAGGAAGTGGTGAGGGCGAGGAATAGCATAGTGCATTTTTGGCCCATGTGGCGGCGTACTTTTCAAAAGTGAAAAAAGGCACGGTGGTGCTCGTCCCGCCCCGGTCATAGACAGCACTTTTCAAGGAAGCGACGTGGGGTCGTTAAAATTGGCATGGATAGCATTCATGATAGAGTCCATGGGGATGAAATGACCAATCGAGGGCTCTATGCGGTTTAAGTGTCATTTTTGGGGGTTAGGTGGTGCACAGGAGGAGCGTCAACCGGTCAGCGAGAAATTTGATTGCTGCTGTCCACTCCCGTTAGGAACCCGCGAAGCACTTTATCAACGACCTCCTGCCTCTTCTTTCATCTTATTCGGATATAAAACGCTTACAGACATGACGGGAGTTCAAGGCGTATTCTAGAAGTGGGGAAAGCATTGGACATGGACCTCTTGGCGTTGCTGCCCCCTTTTCCGAAGCCTGGGAAGCACCACGTACTGCTTGTTGTGGTTTCAGCAGTTGCTGCCTCTGCGACGACTGCAGCTATCTTGCTTGTATTTTCCCAGCGTCGATCGAAATTTAAACGTACCTTGGGGAATAAATGTGGCAATCGGGAAAGTGGTTATGCGGCATTGATCGGTAACACGCCGCTCATCGAATTGACTAGTCTATCGCGCGCGACGGAATGCCGTGTCTTGGCAAAGGTGGAATATCTGAATCCCGGTGGTACCAGCAAAGACCGCGTGGCACTGCGAATGATTCAGGAGGCAGAAAAGGCCTGTTTATTACATCCTGGTAGTACGGTGATAGAAGGGACCTCAGGAAGTACGGGTATTGCTTTAGCCTCCTTGTGCCGTGCCCGAGGGTATCGATGCTTGATAGTCATGCCAGACGACCAGGCGGCGGAGAAAGCCCATTTATTGAAACAGTTTGGTGCTGAGGTTGAAATTGTCAAGCCTGCAAGCATTGCCAACCCTAACCATTACTGTAATCGTGCGCGGGCACGGGCAGAAGAGTTAGGTGACGAGGCAGTTTTCATGGATCAGTTCGAGACCATGGCAAACTTTCGAGCCCATTATGAGGGAACAGGGCCAGAAATGTGGGAGCAGGTAGTGGCTGGATACGGTGCCCGCCCAGACGCTTTCGTCATGTCGGCAGGGACGGGTGGCACGCTGGCGGGGGTGTCTCGGGCCTGGAAGGAGCGTGAGGAGAAGGTACAAGTGTTTCTGGTGGACCCCCCGGGCTCCTCCCTCTACCACAAGGTCAAACACGGCGTCTGCTACTCGACGGCGCAGCGGGAGCGAGGAGTGCGGCGCCACCGCTACGATTCTCTCGCCGAAGGGATTGGGCTGGACAGGCTGACGGCAAACTTTGGAAAAGCGCGGATCGACGAGGCCTTCCATGTCTCGGATCAGGAGGCAGTTGACATGGCCCATTTTCTCCTCCAGGCAGAAGGCATTTTCGTGGGGAGCTCGACAGCGATGAATCTGGTGGGCTGTGTGCGTGCAGCTCGGGTGCTGGGGCCGGGTCACACAGTGGTCACGGTCCTTTGCGATTCAGGACAGCGACACTTGACTCGATTTTGGAACCGGAGAGTAGTAGAAGGCGCTGAGTTGAAATGGCCGGAGACACCACCCGTGAATCTGAACTTCTTGCAGAAAAATGGACCAGGAGACAAGGAGGATTTGAGAGAAGGAGGGCATTGAGAGGATCGGGCGCGACTTGAGCTCTTTGCAATGGTGAATGGTGAAACTATGTGCTCCGTCCGCCACGCCAAGGACTGCGATCTGTAAATGACACCTTTGTATACTGTTCGTTTCATCATCCCTACTCATGTACACATGTAATATGTACGCACGCGTTGCATGCAAGGGTTCTCACGCCACCTCGTTCTACTCATTCTCACGCCCACTCCTCCTTGACGACAATCTCTTTTTTCACGACCGCGGCCCTGGCACCGCCCTTCCCCTTGTTGATGCTCTTCTGCCTAGCCGTATTCTGGGTCACGCTCTCTTCCTCCTTCTTGACGTGTGCCAGTCCCACCCGCGCGGCCGCAGCCTCCATTGCCGCTGCTTCGGCTTTGACCAGCTCTTCGCGCATTTTTTGTAGCTTTCCCAAGGGACATGGGCCGTCGGGCGCGAGCTGCGTGCGGCCTTTGCAGCAAGACTCGCACTTCTTTCCGTGAAGCACCAAGAGAACATGTAGGGCATACTTGATAGCGTCAGGCACGCGGTTGTTCAGGTGCTTGTAGGCATCCTCCCTGGAGGCGGCTCCCGGCACCCACCCTAGCTTCTTAGCAATATGCCAGACGTGCGTGTCCACGGCGAAGTCGTCGTGTCCGATCGTGAAGAGCAGGACACAGGCGATTGTCTTGGGCCCGACGCCCTTGAACTTGCTGAGGTACTCCTTGATCCCGGCCGTCGGAAGCGCTCGGAGAAACTCCAGACTTGGCTCCCCTTCGGGGCACTTCTCGGGGTGCTCTTCCAGCACGGTCTCTAAAATTGCGCGGATTCGGCCGACTTTGATATCCGACAGCCCCGCAAATTTGATCGTCTCCTCTACTGCGCCGGGTGCGGCAGCCAACACTTGCTTGTAGGTCGGGTAACGTACCTTCAAATTTTCGAAAGCACGCTTACTCAAAGCGTCCGTGGTGTTTTGACTCAGGATCGTGCGGACAAGAGAATCGAGGACAGAGCGTGCCCGCTTTTCTAAAAGCGTGCCTTGGCCGCTGCAATTTTCCTCCAACACATCGCGCTCTGGTTCGCCGTGGAGCTGTGCCAGCAGGTCGCGCACGTAAAGTGCTTCAAATGGAGTCGGACGTCGTTGTTGCGGGTATGGACTGATCTCACTGGCTGTGATTTTGATGGAGGTGCCTGGTCCTGTCCATTTATCGAGTAAGGCCTTGATTTTGAGAACCTCGTCCGCGTCGTGGATCAACTTATCGGGACATGCCGAGGGCTTCCGCTTCGATTCCGCCTCCAATTTTATCTTTTTAGAAGACAGAGACTCAACAAGAGAAGAACCCAAGGCCTTGTCTCGCGAACGCCGTGGCATGTAGCCGTCGACTGCACCCGTGACCTTGCTGTCTTCCTCCGTCTCCTCCTTCTTCACAACCCCTACTTTCTTGCCTTCTTCCCCTGAGGCATTGGGCGTCGTTTTTCCGCCAACGAAGTATTTCTCTTTTTCCACAGCAGTCTCTACTTTCAAGTGTGTCGCTGATTTCTCAGTGTGGACGCTTCTTGTCGAATTTCCCTTGAGTGCCGGCTGCCCTTCAGTCGCAGCGTCAGCAAGAGGCGGCCCCCCTCTTTCATTTCTTAAGCGGATGCTTCGCTTCGTCTTCCGACCAGGCTCTAGCTCTGTGGTATTCAATCCTGCCATTTTCCAACGCCTCGATTGATGTCCTGACGTGGGTAAAATTTTATATCGATCAAAACCAGTGTTGGCATAAGAAACGAGGAATTTGTGGCGGCGATAACCAAACTACCGGAAGGCGAGCGAGCGGCAGAGCGCCTGGCGCAGGATACGAACCTAAAAAAATGCCACTCACGTATTGTAACACCCTAAAACAGATACAATTTAGACGACCATGACATGGTCATGAAGACACGCGGAGTTAGTGGGGATGCTCTTCGATCGTAAACTTCGTGTGTGAACTTTGATGGCCAATGTCAGGGTTGCAGCCTCGGCGTCTCAGTCAACATCAACCAGCCGCACAACCCGGAAACGCCGCCGTCCCCCATGGCGCACAATGGTTTTCGCAGCTTCAGCCATACTATGTCCTATTTCAGCGGGTGTGGATGCATTTGTCCGGTCAGGAGTTGATCCATCATTTTACCAAGGCTCACGGCTCAGGTCTTGGCACACCCTCACATTCCCGCGACGATCTCCTCCAAGTGAACGACATTGCCAATTTCTTTTCCTGCGTGAGGCTTTGCTAACGCTGACTGCATCCAAAGAGTCGAATGATGGCGATGATTTCAAGCAGGAATCAAGTGCAAGGATGTCGGGTCGAGGTGTATCATCGTATTTTCTCACTCACAGCACGCTCGCCCCGCCGCACGCCTCGTTGCATCCTCCTTTGCTTCTCGACGACGAGCGTCAAGCCGCCATAGTGAGCAAGCTGGCAAAAGAAGGATATCTCAAGCAAGCTGTCAAGCTTTTGTCCAATTTAAAGGCTCCATCTCCCCTCCTTGTGCGAACCCTTTTGATGGCATGTGTAAATGCGGAGAGCTTACCCTTGGCCCTTGCTGTGGTGAAAATGCCGCACGTGCATCCCTCCGTGCAGCAATACACCTTAGTCATCCAAATTTGTGCTCGGCAGGAGAGATGGTTTGAGGCCGTGCGCCTTCTGCGCGACATGCGGACCCGAGGGGCACCGCCCGACCTGGTCGCTTACACCGCCGTGATGGATTGTTGCGCCAAGGCGGGCCAGTGGGAGGCAGCCCTGACGCTCATCCCTGAAATGAAGGAAGCGGGTGTTCGGCCTGATCGTATCACGTATAACACGGCCATTGATGCATGCGCGAAGGGGGGGCAATGGCAGAGAGCTTTGGAATTTTTGCGTGGGATGGAGGAACCTAATTTGATCAGCTACAACAGTGCGTTGGATTCTTGCGCTAAGACAGGCCGATGGAAGGAGGCAGTAGGGCTGTTGGAGGAAATGCGGCAGGCAGGCAGGAGGAAAGACGGTAGGGGGAGCACGGTCAGCGACCAGACGCAAGAAGTCGGCGCCAACCAGGGCAACACCACCAACACCATCCCCGGCAATCGAGGTAGCAAGCCGTCCATCCGGCCCAACATTATCTCCTACAACACCGCAATAGAGGCCTGCGCTAAAAGGGGCCGCTTCGAAGAAGCCCTGGCCATCCTGAGATCCATGCAGGTCCCCGACACGGAGAAGGCGGGGGGGCATGTGCCTCTCCCCAGCGCGAGTAAGAAGCGCAACGGAGCCTCCCATCACCGCCGCCACCAACGTCTTGTGCCAGAACCGGACCTGGTCACGTACCATTCCGCGATCAAAGCATGTGGACATGCTGGGCAGTGGGAACATGCCTTAAGCCTCCTTGCCGAGGTGCGTGCCGCTCGATGGATTGAGCTGGAGCCCTCCACCTATAATGCTGCCATCGCGGCTTGCGCCAAATCTGGCCGATTCAACGAGGCGCTGGACTTGTTGAAGGAATGTGGAGATGCCAGCAATGTCGTGACTTACAACTCAGCCATGCAGGCTTGCTCCTCGGGTGGGCGGCCGGACCTCGCCTTCCAGCTGTTGCAGGTGATGAAGGCCAATGGAGTGGAGCCCGACGTGGTAAGTTACACTACCGTCATGCAACGTTCCTCGGTCGACGTAGCTACAAGTGTCCTCAATCGTATGCGTGCAGCGGGCGTGAGCGTGGGGGTTATGACCTACAACGCGCTTTTGAATGCCTGTGCTCGGGAGGGCGATTGGCGGACGAGCCTCGCGATGCTGGAGGAGATGGATCATCAGTCTGTGGCCCCCAACGTCGTGACTTACACCCTGGCCATGGAAGCGTGTGGCCGAGGGGGGCAATGGCAAGCGGCACTGGAGGTATTGAACGAGATGACCGTGCGTGGCGTCCCGTTGGACTCGAAGGCTTGCCAGACGGCCATCGACGTGTGCGCCAAGGTCCAGGACTGGAACAAGGCACTGAGTCTCCTCAGGGACGTGAGTGCGCAGGGCAGAGATGGAATAGGAGACCAGGGCAGCGGCAAAGGGGGTACGAAGGAATTGTACGAGAAAGCCATGGCTGCGTTCGGGCGGGCGGGGGAATGGGAGAAAGTCTTGTGGCTGCTTGAAGGAATGGATCGTCCTGATCAGAAAGTGACCAACCTGGCAATGCGAGCATGTGCTCAGGCGGGAAGATGGGAGGAAGCTGTCGGCCTTCTGCAGAATATGACGAGCAAGGGCATTGCTCCAGACCAATGGAGCTACAACACGGCCATCCATGCCTGTGCACAGGCCGGAAATGCCGAAAAAGCCTTGAAACTGTTGAAGGAAATGGGCCAAGAAGGCGTCGTTCCTGACGTGGTAAGCTATACGACTGCCATGGATGCATGTGCCTCGGTAGGAGACGTGGAAACAAGTCTCCGGCTTTTGGAAGAGATGGTGAAGAAGGGTGTCCACCCCAACCATCGGAGCTTCAATGCCATTATGAGTGCGCATGGGAATGCAGGCCAGGCCACCGAAGCCATTGCTGTGCTGGGTCTGATGACTGAGCATGGGCTGACCCCGGACGTGAAGAGCTACACTCTGGCCATGGACATATGTCTGCGTCAAGGCCTGTGGCAAGTTGCTCTCAAAATCGTGGAACGCATGCATGCAACGCGGGTGCGCTTTGATGCGATTTCTTACGGCAAGGCTATCCACGCGGCCCATTTGGGCGAACAATGGGAGGTCGCGGTGGGGTTTTTGGATGAAATGGTGGAAAGTGGTTGGCTTCCGAGTCATAAAAGCTATACCCTAGTGGTCGAGGCATGCCGGCGAGCGGGAGAGTCGAGGCTGGCCGAAGAGGTAAGTAGACGCTGGGCGCGTGATAAAGAAAGCTTGGCGCGAGCGAATCGTCGGCGTGGGGGAAAAGGATTGGCAGACACTCGGCGACGCGATAACCGAGGAAAGTCTAATTCTGAGGGACGAAAACATGGGACAAGTCCGATTGAAAATCAGCCCGAAAGCAGCCGTGGAAACAAGGATAGCGCGCGAGTGGACACAACGAGAGGCTCTTCTTCTGCCACAGTGAGCATCACCAACCATGTGAGCCATCCACCACCATCCTCGGGCCTGGGTCCGCAATTTCCGTTTCAAACGAAACGATGACATGAATCGAGATGCGCTGGCTTGGCAAAGGGATGCATGATATCTCAGAGGGGTAAAGTACAAACATAGATAACCGAAAATCGTAGAAGATGACAATTTTATCGACGAAAACTTTCACGGCAACTGGAGGTAATAAGCTATAAAATGGCAAAAAATCGAAAGATAAGTGAAAAACCGTTTGTGTACGATTTAAGCTGGTGGAGATCAGAGAAATGTGTGGTCATGCGACAGGAATTCAACATGCTGGTTTGTTCTCGCTAATTAACATAAATGAAGAATTCTGGCCGCTCAGATTTTCATCACATTTGTCACGCTTCGTCAAGCTGTGTAGCTATGGAGCTCACTTTTGTTTCTTTCACATCTCGTTGTCGCTCCAAGGATGCAAAGGCAAACCAAGGTACGATAGCTCAATATGCTCGCTGTCAGTCATAGTTAAAGCTACCTCTACAGGCTCCTCATAGGACCCGTACATTGAATACAGAATATCATTGGAGACAACCAAGTCTCCCAAGGAAAATGTTGCTCCTTTCTGGCCGCTCAGCCTCCGACCGAACAATGTAAGGGTAAATCCGCCCCGCGGTTGAAATACGGCCCGCCACCGATATTTTAAATATTGGGTTGTCATCCATAATTGGATAGTGAGAGCTGTAAGGGGCGCCACGTTGATGCCAAGTTGCCATGTCCGGACATCCACCAATTCCTTGAAAAATAGAAATTGGTAGAATGTATTAAACGAGCCGGTCAGCGCGTTCTGGACAAGCTTCCCTTGCTCACTCAAGAAATCGACTTCATTGGGTCGGGAACGTCTTCTTTCTTTGCCTGCGACAACATTTCCTTCCGGTCTTCTAGTCTTAAGGTCCGTCTGAAACCGGAACCTTTGCTTTTGTTCAGACGAAACTTGAAAAAGATCTGCAACGGTATCAAATAAAAGAATCCCAAAATTCGTCCGAAATCGCCGGATAAGGATTATTGCCCGTCCGTAGGCCAAAACACAGCTGACAGTCTCAGTGGGGTTTTGATTCAAGCAGGTTACCCGTCCGTTCGGCAAAGGCTCACGTGCTGTGACGTAGGAACTCTGATCATACACATGTAAAGCTTTTTGCTTGAATACAAGCGGCGAGATAGTGGCTGCACTACCAAGGACTCCGATGTCGGCGTTGTCTACAACTAGTGGTCTGCACATAAATGTATCGCTTTGTGGGCTCATATCCCAGACAGCCATGGAACATTCCTGTAAACCCCTTGGCGCGATGAATGCAGACTTCGATCGTCGATTGAGGCTGTGGACAGCAATACGTAGGTAGTGCTCTTTAATCGAGAGCGGCAGGCTGCTAGGATTGAAGATAGCCAGGCCGTCCGGAGCGTTCAGGAATGACCCATCGAACATGAGATGGTTCCGCGACACAAATGATCGTGATACATGATACATCGACGGCAACGAACGACATGTGAGCTCATTTCTTTCAGCTTGGTACGTCAAAATTGCATTGTGATGAGAAAGAAAGGTTATAGCGCCGGTGTCGGGGTCTATTTTTATGGTCCAAATGCACCATGAGGATTCTGGCTGCATCGATAAATATAGATGATACTGATCGTCCACACAGAGATATAAATGTGTATTTACGTTTTTCAAGTAGCTGTCAGCACAATCCGTACACCAAGCGTAGGTGCTTGATGGATACGCCGAGATCTCGATGTCCCACTCGTCAGCCTCGTGGGGACGCAGCGCGGGGAAGGGTGGCGTACAGGCCTTTTGACATGCGAAACAAGCGACCCGCCTATCGCTGTCATAGCCCGGAAGTGCGATCCAAGAGCCGTCAGGTTTCAATTGTAGGTGTGATATTTCTCCAAAGTTTTGATCGATGTGCAAAGTGGCCCCTTCATAATAGGATTCGATATGCAGCCACCCTAGACAGCCAGCATAAAGACTCAAGACAAAGGCGTTCTGTACACTCGATCTGACATTCACCAACTCCCCTCCCTCAAGCTGGCATTTGTCTTGAGCTTCGTCGTAGGTTGATGGGTCGGCCCAATGCTGTTTGTAGCACCAACCGTCTCGCTTGCACCATCCTACAGGGCAACCGTTGCCGACGCTGAGGTACAGCGGTGGATTCTCAGGTAGCTTATCCGACGCGCAAAGTTGAAAAGAAGATCTGTTGTCAGATAGTAAATAGTCATTGATTATATTCTGACGAAAAATAGTGCTGCTCCTGTATTCTTCCGACAAACGTCCCAGAAGATGTTTTACTGGGTTTACCTCTCCATTCCAACTGATGGTGAAGAGCGATCCGTTCCGGTCTCCACAACATGTAAATAAATGGCATGTTTTCTTGTCTAGACTACAGGGACGATCACAACGAAATGTGTCTACTTCGTGTGGCAAACCTGGGTAGTCATTTCCACACCAGCATATGCTTTGTGATCCTCCACCCGTTGCTGCTAACGCGTACCCGCGCTCAGTGCAAATGGCTTGACATCGTAGGTTGCTAAAATTATTCTGTGCCAGTGAGACAGCGAATTTCGCAATAAAATTGTTGAAGCATCCTTCCACCTGCTCATCTTTGCCGCCAATGGCGAGTTTTGCTGAAGGAGGGCGTCGCTCGTCTTTCATGTCAAGATTCATAGCACCGTTTACGTCATGCGTCTCGGGTGTCTCGACAGAGGTGAAAGGCCGAGGAAAATACCAAAAAATTAAGAGGCAGAGCAAAAAGGCTAATTTCCCTACTTTCATTCGCTAGACTTTGAGTACGGTACGTGGTGCGGACGAGCTCGCAGCAGCAGAGGGAAGTGCTGTTGATCATCCCAGCGTGATGATATCACAGGAGTTTGTCAGGCTTTCTTTGCGTAACACTACCTGTGATTATAGCATAAAAGGTGCTACTGGTGTAAGAGCGGGAAGTTCTATCTTTGATAAAAAGCATTCGTTGAAGAATCGAGCTGCTAGTGTGGTAGTTCGATGGGATTATCTTCACCGTTTCTTAGCCGTTTAATTCAACGGCCAATAAGGAGGTTGGACAGCTCGAAATCGCTCCTTTGTGTGTAAAACAATTATCGCAAACGCGTCTACAAGAAGTAAATTGGTTGATCAATCGTATGAACGGCTATGACATAATCTATACAGACGCTTTCATACCAGGCATTTACTCTCTCCGGCGCCACCTCAATCGGGCTCTTGGCTTTGGTGGAGGGCTCACACTCTTTACACGTCATTACATGACGGCTTCGAAAAAGAATATTTTGGTCTCAGCAATAACTGCTTGGACAATTGAGAGCGCAGTTTTTTGGCCTATAAAAGCCCAAATATTGCCGCAAGGCGTTTCTAACCGTGGGAGCGGTGGGGCGTCGGCGAGCCCCTGGCCAGGCGCTGGGGATCAGGAAGGCATGATGGGAGCAGGGAGGGAGCGTGTATTTGGTCAACGTCCCATCGGAGGCCTAACAGAAAAAATTGAAGGCTGCTTTGATAGGTTTGATTCGGAATTTGCAGTCGAACTGGGACGTAATAATATCAACAATAAACGGTGCCAGGCCATTTGTACCGATAAAGGCTATGCTTTGTCAGCCACCGGGTTGATTGACAGCTGTTTCTGCGGAAACGATTACCCATCTGTATTCCATCGTGTAGATACTAGCTTGTGTGATCTCCCTTGCAGTCCTGATAAGGCTTCATGTTTCTCATTTACTTGCTGTGGAAGTCGAGATGAGTCGTTTTTTTACCGTGAGCTGGAGCGGGGAAATGGACATCATGAAACAGCTTTTGCGCCAATTATCGCATGATTATCGGTTTAATAGTCCAATATTCAGACGCAAGATTGAGTTTGATGGATTTTGTGACAACGTAGCCTTTCGCCTGGGCCCATCACCTGTAAATCGCGAAAATGATCCTGCAACATACGCCAGCAACGATGGCGCCGAGGCTGGAGACGAACGTGTAAGAGCTTGGATGGAGCCTTCTGCTCCTCCATTATATCTTAGTAAAGGTAATGGTTGTCCGGTTGGATGGTGCCAATATGACTGTTGGTGTTACAGGCAACATTGGGCAGATCCTTCGACGTACGACGAAGCCTGCGCCAAGTGTCTCGCGGAAGATGCAGAAGTAGCTACAATCACATCGGAGGGCGAGAACCGTTTCGTCCAAGACCTTTACGGCGGCTGCGAGGGTTGGATTAGTATGAAGCAACAGGTGGCCATTACACATGACGAGAGGACATTGAGCGCCTTGGCGTTTTCTAATGGATCTGTGCACCTCTCCGACATGGTAGCTAATATTTGGAATGAAGACGGCGATGCACGTACCCAATCATTCCATAAGCAAGCAGCATATCTATCCAGGCTGTCACCTACGTGGAATTTTTACCGCACATTGATGAATCATGGTTCGCGTCAACTTGGCGCACGCAAATCCCTCAAAAATACCTTGAAACGGGCTTTCTGGGACCCGGGTGCCAAATTTCATCGATGGAAAGCTCAGTCTAGACCATCGCTCTCATCGGAATCACTATCGTCAATTCATCTCACATCCTTTGGTGATCGGAATTTGGCAAAGACCTCGCAAGTTGGGAAATTTTACGATGTCAGACAGAAAGTCGACTCTCTTAATGAGAAATTTGGCAATAATAAAGCCGTGAGCAATGGCAGCCATTTGGATTTTGGTGAGGTCGAAGAGTTTAGCTTCACTGCAGGAAATTCAGGACTCACGCACATCAAACTAGGGTATGATAAGATTGCATTTCGTTTTCTTAGGCCCGGTACTAAACTTGTCTTATCTGCAGATGCGCAGATGTCAATTTCGTCTAACTTGAACGAAATTACGGTGGCTTTTCGACCAGAAGAACGACTTGTTGGAATGAAGGCTGTTTTTGGCGTATGGGGCCTGCGCAGTCTAAGCTTATTTACCTTAGATTCTGATACAAATGATAAGTTTCGAACGTATGGTCCATTTGGAAATTTGTTGATCGATCGTCCCGGTTTTCTGACAGAAGAGTTATGGATCCCAGCATCACGCTGGCACCACCCTGTCGTGGGTTTCTTTGGGAGTATCGCTAAAGCAACCGGGTATATTCAAAGTCTAGGAATGTATCAACGAATTCTTAAGGATTGTGGATGGATGGATGAGTCCGGTGATTGGCTCGCCGTTGACTGCTATCAAGCGCCAAAAGAAGTCATATTCTTTGCTTGCAAAAAAAAAGGCTGGCTGTCGAAGCGGGGCTGCCCTAGGGGATGGACACCCTTTGAAAACTCATGCTACCTTCGTCACCGCAGCCGCAATGCCTCTTGGTGGGATGCCCGAGCGCAC